TTGAATCTTAATCATATGAAAGTTTCCTCACGGTATCATCCAACTAAGTTTTCTCATGGACATTATAACATATATCTATATGAATTAGTTGGTTGCAACATATAGTTATTGATGGATCTTTGTTGGAAAGTAAGCTATTTGGGGATACAAATAATTAAACTTAAGGTTGGACCTAGTAAGAGCAATTAAAGACAAATCAAAATCATAAAAAAAATGGCATGCACACGACTGGTAGCACAGGCAAAAATTGATAGGAAAGACAAAAATACTTAAAGAAAGATACTTCTTATAAGTTGGTCGAAATGGATTCCGAACCTAATTGAAATTTCTTAAAAGCAGTTTTACAATTTTAGGTTAAGCTCAACAAGGGTTGACAGATAGATAATCATGAACACATAACTTGAGATAACGCTTAGGAGAGCATTAAATATGCAGACAACTCCTGATCAATGCATTAATGTCCATTTGGGTTATTCTTTAGTATAAAAAAAATGAGTAATATAAAGAGAAAGACAAGAAATCTTAGCTGAGAAATTTTTTGACTCTCTACCTTCGTGTTCAAAGAATATTTAATTTTCTCTATATGAATATTTCGTACAATTTTTCACTATATGAATAAATTCATTCATCCTTTTAATTTTCTCCTCTAAACTCCTCATTATACAACGTGCGAGTGTTAACCAAACTTACTCAACTGGTTAAACAATGATGTGTTAGCCTAAGATCTACAAAACTTATTGACCCAATTGAATGAACTTAAACATAAGCATTTTATTCAGAGTTGACTATACATGAGAGATTGTGGAAACTCAAATCCGGCATATACGATGAATGAATTTGGAAATTGCATTTAATTGAACAAAGTGAAATATACATGGTTGCAAAAGGTGGTGACATAGTTTGTTCAAACCATTCATATATCACAATGAAGTAGAAGAATAGATAATGGTATTTTAATGACTTTACAAATGATGATGACTTGAACAGAGCCGAAATACAAATTTTTTTCATAAAAGTTGCTAAGTTTGTTGGAGGAAAAATGATGGAAAGGAAAATGAAAATTTGTGAAAGGTGGTGAGTTGAGTGGAAAGGAAAAAAAGACAATCATCGAACAACGGTGAGTTAAATTGAAATGCAAGAAAAGTAAGTGAATTTCTCTTCATTCTTTTGGAAGACAAAAAATAATTGTTTTCTATCTTTTTTACATAAAATTAGGTGAATAATCCAAATTTTTGCATTATGCATAATCACCCGCCCTATGATTTTTTAATGTACTATATCTCATTTGGTTTAACTTGGATTTCATGTTTTTTTCATATAAAAATCTCAATAATCATACTGTACAAAATAACATTCATCATAATATATTTTGGAATGAAAAATACATTAATGGAGGTATTCTACACATGATCAACGAAAATTTAATAAAAAAATATTGAAATAGTATATCATTTTGTGGATTTTAGTTAATTTATTTTTCTATACTAAGTTATTGAGCACAAATCTTATCTTAACTTATATTATGGTCTTGTTGAGAAATTTCTTGCCACGTAGGACTTAGAAAACTTCACAATTTTTATGTCATATTTGTTATTCTAACTTTTCTTCATTATTTATAAGTTATACAGAGCTAGAGCTATAAAAAAATATATGCAATTGATTCAACGGAAATATTTAGATTTGAACCTACGATCTATTAAACCCAATTTTACCACTTAAGACACTTAACCAATATGATAAGTTCTAGTATAATTTACATCGAAATTAGAGACAATATTTTAAAATTAGGTATCAAACTCATTTGGACATGAGTACTAATATTGTTGTGGTTAATAGAATCAAATAGATATTTGAATTGAAGTAGAAGTAGTATGAAATATTTATTTCATTCGTCATATAGTACAAATCGGTTTTTGCTAGGGGTGGACATTGATGCAGGTGTAGTTACCCGCCCACATTTTGTGGTTAACCACAACCAAAGTCATGATTATGCTAATCAAAAACCACACCACAGTGGTTAGTGATTAAACACTACCACTACGGTTCGGTTGTGGTTATACACAAAAATCATCTTTCAAAGCATGAAGCAATAGTCGCAACCAACGAATTCGTTGTTCTCCACTATGACATAATGATTTATAGATATGTTGTTCGTAGAGATGAAATTTTCTATATCTTACTTAGAGTGAGGTTTTGCCAGTTTCGAGTTTCATATTCGAATTTTATGTCGTAGAGAAGAAAGAGATGAAAGATTTTTCTTTACAAACTTCACATTAATCCCACATGACACACGCGGTAAGTTTTCATTAGGGGTGGGCAACGGGACGGGACGGGATACCCGTCCCGTTTTAAACGGGTACCCAGTCCCATTTGGAGACCAAAGTCCATCCCATATCCCAAACCCATATGGGAAACGGGTACCCATTACCCGTACGGGACGGATAACGGGTACCCATACTACCCATAAATACCCAAAGTTTAAATGACGTTTTACCTAAAGACAATTAGTCAATTACATCCAAAGCATTCATTTCAAAACACAAATGGCTGCACAAGTAGCAACTTACACCAATTCCTACAACCCAAAGAAGGGATGATGATGAAGATGAAAAGGAATCAAGGAAGGGGAAAGGACCAAATAATAAAACCCAGAAAGAGAACAAGTTCTGCTTCCTGGAAAGTGCCATGATTCAGTAATAATAATAATGTTGTTTCTACTCAAATCAATCCTCAGTTTGGCAAAATAGGGTGGGGAAGGTGGTGAATTTTGCAGCAGCAAGCAAGGGTGCTCCCACACTTTCCCACTGCCATTACTTAAGCCCAAGGCGAGCTAGGTTTCGACCTTTCGTCTCTTCTCTCTCGTCCCGCGAAGACGACTCCTCCAGCCAGGGACAAGACATAAGACAGAGACAGACCTTTCCAAATTCCAGAGAAGCTGCCGCCTGCCGTCGCGTGTCTCGCGTCTTCTAGGGCCTAGGGGTGCGTCAGCGTCTCAACTATCACGGGCTGAATTAAATGGATTTGTAATTTTAATGGATTTTGAATTGGGTTGGGCCTGGGCGCATGAGTACAACGGGTACCCATATTACCCAAACGGGTATTCGCGGGTAACCCGCGGGTACCCATATTAGGACTGTACAATCCCAAGTCCCATCCGTTAAAAATATTACGGGTAATATGGGTACCCATAACCCTTAAAAAACGGGACGGGTACGGGTATACCCAAATACCCGTTTCCCGTTGCCCAACCCTAGTTTTCATTTTGACAGTGAGTTGTTTTAGCATTTCACATAAATAATCCTTACTTCTTGTATTATTAAATAATAATAATAAATAAGGTGAATTTAAAGGTAAAGCAAAAGTTTGTCAAGCTAATGTGGTCATAGTCAGTTAACCAACCACTAATCATAGAAATCATGATTTTGCTAACCACACCCAACTCAATATTCACAAATTGTGAGTGTGGTTAATCACATAATCCACAAACAAACAATCAAACTTTCATCCCTAATTTCTGCATCCAACATATAGGAACGCTTAGATAATGCCTAGGCGCTATGTCTGCCTTATGCCTAGCGCTTTCTTGAACCTTGAATATAATACAAGTTGTAATGGCAATGTGGCAGGGAAGGGTGGGTACCTCAATACTCATATCCACCAGCACTATGGTCGGTAATACCCTCACAGGTACAGGGCATGACGGGTGAACCAATTCTTATATGTTGTTTGAAAAGAGAACGTCGATATTTAACTCTTTTACAAGAACATATAAAGGAAAAACGTCATAGATGAATGAGAAATATATTATCAGCAATAATTAAATCTAAATAGTTGAAAGATAGTCTTAATTTGTTTTGGGATGCAAAGATAATTTTAGAAAGGTCAAAAGAGGATAAATAATGTAGAATTGATGCAAATCCTAATAGAATGGGTCGAAAACGAGGCGAAATAGTGCAGACAGGTCTAAAGAAATGCTCATGCCCCGCCCACACTATTGTGAATCGGGTAATAGTCATGACCCAAATAGGTCGGGACATGTCGGATTGGACAATAGCATGACTCAAATTGGTTGGTGCAAATCGAGTCAAAAATTGTCATTAGTAAATACCATTGTTCAAAAAGACGATACGCAGGCGTTGGGTCACTGCCTAGCGCATAACACGTCTAAGCGGTGCCTAGGCATTTTAGCAAAAGTAGCAATTTTTAGTAGAAATAAAATTTTATAGCATATTTTTACTTTAATTCAATTTCAAATGTTCACAACTTAGCTAACCCTCAATATTAATAAAAATAAGTCATGACCGAGAAGCAATTTCAAATCAGGAATGAGTGAAGGATGCATTGAATATAGGGCATCTAGAAATGAAGTTTCAGGAAAGATCAGCTACGATTCTTTTAATCATTGATCTACTAGTGCAATTAAGCGCGACTCACTTAGATTGATTGTGCCTCACATTGGTTGATCGTGCCTATTTTTGCCTAAGTGTAGCTTAGGCGTTAGGAATATTTAATTGTCTGTCTAGAAACTAGGCGATATTTTTTGTCACTTCCCAGTGCTGCGTATGCCTGAATTATGCTTCTTGAACCCTGCTAAATACAACTTAGGTTTAATTGATTTTGTTCAAGGCTTTTCATATGTGGAATACCTTGACAGACGAATCTAGCTAGTGACAAGGCCTCCTTAAAAAAATAAAATAAAACAAGGCTAGTGTGAACTCATTCTTACTTAAAACCTAATGAACCCCACTGATAGAAAATTTTGTGATAAACTAAGATTTATTTTCATTATTATTTTTTCTTGAAGGTTAGTTTTCTCTTCGTTTCCTGATTCTTGTAGACAAACAAATATATAAATTAGATAGAGAGCCCATTTCTTTAATGAAGTAAAAGTAACTTCTCTTTTTCTTCTTGTTGCTTGCAGCTGCTTTGTTCATTGGTTGCTTTCAACATCCACAGTTTTGCCATATTATCATCAGTCTCTCCAAACCTTTTATAGAGAGATAGGATTTGACCTGCAAAAAGGAAATTCTGAAGAGAAAAAAGTGAAAGAAGAAGAAGAAGAAGAAAGAAACGAAGGAAAGAGAACCCAAAAGAGAAGACAGAATGGAGCTCACTCCCCAACATGGTTTCTTGGAGGAGTTGCTTCATCATCATCAGGCTCCCCTTAGAAGAGAAAGCTGGCCAACTTTTCCTCTTGCTGCAGCTGCGCCTACTTCTTCTTCTTCGTCTTCTAGTACTACTACTGCTTCTTCTACTGATAACCTCTTCCCCAATGGCTGCTGGAGCTTTGATTCTTTTGATAACCATCACCACCCTTCAGCATTGCCTTCCATGGCTGCCTCCATTCCTCCTCCACCTCTTCTTCCTCCATTTCTTCCCTTTGACTGCAGTTTCATTGACCAACAAGCTAATTACCCATTTTGTCCTGATGCTGGGTTCAGCATTGACCAGAATTCACCATCTCCACTAATCCAACCAAACATAGTTGATGAAGAAGAGCAGGTTGGGGAACTTTTCAGCACCCAGCAGAATGTGGAAGAGGAAGTAGATGAGGAGATGGCAATGAGGTACTGCAAACCAGAGGAAGCTGCTGGGGAGAATGGTGATATTGGTCATCTCCAACCTTCTATGGCTATTGGGTTTTGTGGACAGAAGAAGGGTAAGTCTAAGAGAGTAGAAGGGCAGCCTTCCAAGAATTTAATGGCTGAGAGGAGGAGAAGGAAGAGACTCAATGACAGGCTTTCAATGTTGAGATCAATTGTTCCAAAGATCAGCAAGGTCTGTGCTTTGTTCCTCCCTCTTTGGTTTTGCTTTTGTGTGTTTTCTTTCTTTTTGTTGTTTCTTTCTTGGCATTGACAATGACTAGTCTTTGTGTCTGGGGTAGATGGACAGAACTTCAATCCTTGGAGACACAATTGACTATGTGAAGGAACTTCTTGAGAGTATCAACAGATTGCAACAAGAAGAAGTAAAAGTAGAAGAAGAGGGTGAGAATGGAGTGAAGCAAGTGAAGTTGATCACCAACTTGATTGAATCCAGACCAAGTGAAGCACTTGTCAGAAACTCCCCCAAAGTTAGTATATATTCCCTTACATTTTTCTGGGTTCCAACATCTTAAGCACATGAAGATAGTTTAATTAACACCCATTTACTGGATGCTTCTAAAATTGCAGTTTAGTGTAGAGAGGAGAGAAGCCGAGACCCGGATCAATGTATGCTGTGCACCAAAGCCAGGACTGCTGCTTTCAACCGTGAACACCATTGACGCATTAGGCCTTGAGATTCAGCAGTGTGTGATTAGCTGCTTCAATGATTTCTCAATGCAGGCTTCTTGCTCAGAGGTATTAGCATATTGATACTTAAATGTCTGTTTCAATTAAACAATGAGCTTTTTTTCAATTCATAGTGTCTAGTCCTGTGATGGGTTTGCTTTAAATCTCCTTTGTTTGTTTCCCCTTCATTATTTTTGGCTTGCTTTGTACAGGGTGATGAGCACAGGTCAGTGATGAGTTCTGAAGATATAAAGCAGGCCTTGTTTAGAACTGCTGGCTATGGAGGGAGATGCTTGTGAATGGGAAAATGGAGGGGGGAAAACTGAAAAGCTGAGAGACAGAGAATAGTCCAAAAATGTCTGGTCACTATCAGAGATTCTGCAGGAAAAAAAATGGACCATTTTGCTATGTTTGTGGTAGCTCTCGTGGGAGTGATAATGGACCATTTTGTTTTTAGTTTTCTAACCCAACTTAATCTCTTCAATCAATGTGTTGTGATTGAGGTTAAGTTGAGCTTGGTTTAGTTTGCTATCTTGCTTAACTAATAAACAAAAGGTAGCATAAAGTGGTCTGAGGATCATCTCTATGGATAGTTTAGCAGCAGAAGATGTGGGCAAGAATGTTCTTTGACTAAGGAAAAGATGATTGCAGATCTAATAAATTCAATCTCTTTTCTTTCCCCTGGAAAGGTTAAACAACTGATTGCTGAAATGTCTCACATGACACAACAGTCCATAAACCACATCAATAATTGCCCAGTTTTGGAATCTTGAATAATGGTGGGTGACATTCTTTTTTAGCATTTCTTTCTTCGGTTGTTAATTTGGTTCTTGAAGAATGACACTGAATCACTAAATCAGCCTTTCTTTGGGGCAGTTGGTTTGAGAATAGATGCTCCAACATACGACAGAACATACAGCAACCCCCACTTGTATTTCTCAATTGCTTTCCTTAACTCTGTAAAAACTGAGGTTTTGGAGTATAATAACCTTTTTTTTCTCTGTGGCCGATTGATTGGTCCCGCTAGTTTATTATGACTTATATGATATCATTGATCATCATTATTGCCTAGTTTTCAGTTATAAGACTGGCAGGGTTCATATTGGGAAATGGCAGATTTCAGCTACCTGCTCAAGAACAAGTGCATGCCATATTAGCGGCTTGCACATCTGCAACAGACAAGGATTTGCTGGTGAACAGTAGACATGTGTGGCTTGCTATGAAGTAATGGGGAAAACCCAGTTAGAAGTATTGGTACCTTTGAAAGGAAGGAAGTCTACACAACTAGAAATGCGACCTTACATCTTGATAGAATCTGATGCACTGATGCTTGTTGTTGGCATACTTGTGATGTATGGAACTAGACATAAAGGACATTTTCAGAGAAGCTGGATGGTCTTGTCAATTTTGATGGTAGTTTATTGTTCACAAGATGGAAAAGATGATGTTAGCTAGGGCTGGGCATGTGGGCGGATCATCCGCGGGTTTGGGCCGACCCACCCGCATTTGACCCGAATTTCGTTAAGTGGGTGGGTCTGTGGGTGGGTGACGGGTTGCACTGGGAGCCATCCGCCGGGTGGTGGGTGGGTTGTGGGTGAGTGTGCGGGTGACCCGCTCAACCCAACAACAAAAAGATCAAAGTCGTTGGCGCTAGAGAGAGGAGAGTGGAGACATTAGATATAAACTCGGACTGCTCCTGGAGTTTGAACCTCAAAGCCAACCTTCCAAATAGAGATCCCCTCTTCTTCCCTTTACTTTTTCATCTAATTCTTGTGCCTAGATCACCGCTCTTTCCTTTGTGAAAATATTTTTCTTAGTTCCTTGCACCTATTAATCGTCTCAATCTGTAGAAAACTCTTTCACAATAGAATTTCTATCCAATTTAAGAACTAATTCAACATTTTTCGCCTTATTTCAACTTCTTGTTTCCCTCGATGATTCTCTTCACCTATTATCATGTCAAGTTGACTCCTTTATATTATATACATTGTGATGTGGGTGAACCCACAAACCCACCCGCATCATCCACCATCCGCCCGACCCAACCCGAGACTAAATGTGGGTGGGTGGTGGGTTAAAAATTAGCAATCCGCTTAAGCGTGGGTGGGTGCATTTTATGGTCAAAATCCACCCGACCCACCCAATGCCCACCCCTAATGTTAGCAACGACAATAGTTCAACAGTTGTACTTGGAGAAGCAAAATTACCTACACGGGTTCCAATCTTGGCTTGGTAGATTTCACTATCCAGATCTTGTTTCAGTAAATATGATACGATTTTCACGTTATAACAAATACTTGATTTATGTTCTTACAAACCAAACATTATATTTCAACATTATGCACATTCTTGCAATCTCATTAAACAAAACACATTATTTATACAGATCCATTTATTCCACGATACAAGCTAAGCATTTTGGAAGGGTCAGATTATGTACAAGCTAGCTCTAGTTAGTAAGACAAATGGGGTTTAAATCCAAAGGCCTATTTCTGAGCAGAAACAATCCATCATAGTTCACTTAGCAGCCACATACAGAAACAATTCATCATAGTTCAACTCCAGCTCAGTCATCTTCATCATCGACAGCATCGCCATTAAGATCAGAAGAATCGCTGTTGGCATCAGATTCCAGGTGGCGAAGCTGATTAATTGCATCACTTACATCAAAAGATAGAGCATTTTTAGCAGCTCTAATGACATCGACGTTCTGTAGAATGTTTGTCTGCCCCACAGCATTCTCTTTTCCTTTTTTTGCTGTGGATTTTCCCAAACGGGAAGCTGCTGCTTTCCGCTTTGCTTCTCTGCAATGCAATCGGTCGATATACTTCTCATGCAAGAACCTGTCTTTGACCTGCTTCAGAACTAGAGGGCTAACAATATCCGGCTGACATGAGTTGCTGAATCTCGAAAGAGGTTTTTTCTTATGTCCAGAGGAAGATCTCCCCGATGAGTTTTCAAGAGATAGCATCTGCTTCTGCTGCAAAGTCTTCGGAGTAGACGGCAGGAGGTTGAGATCAGAATCTTGAGCAGATGGATTCATGTCTGGTTCTAGAATGGAGAATAAATCTGCTTCGTGATTCTGATCCCTGTGGTTATGCTTTTGCAGCAACTGTCTCACTGTTTTCTGAGCAATATGATGCTTCTGCCTAGTGCTGCACCTCTTAGTCTTCTGCCCACAGGAATCTAGTATTTTGCAAGCCGAGAGTTGAAGAGATCCAATAGGAGAAGAAGTCGATACTTTTGCCCTCGATCGACGTGTAGGTTGAGGTGGAGTTGCATGGTCGCCGTGTACTTTGTCAAAGCAATCCTGTGCAGACTTTCCAGGCACCTGCAATTAATATCGCAGGATGCACTATGAGAAGCTCAAAGCTTACTATTATTGAAGTTGCATGTCAATAACAACATTGTAGAACAATGAACTCGAAATTGTTAAGCTCCATCAACAGACCTAAACATTTGAAAATGGTAACTTTATTCCACACAGGATAAGTTCGGGGTGAAGCAATTGATCTTCCCTTAACACAACTTCACAAGTCTCTCAAGTAGCCACTGGACGGCCATAGAAGGCTAGGCATTAGGCAATGTAATAAGGATTCTAGTTTCTCTTTGAGGACGGTTGAGGCCATAGAAGGCATAGGCAGGCAAAAGTGAGATGATGATGATATCAGAGAGCCAGTTAGACGCACAATTTAAAAGTACTCATTATCAAATAAGTGCAAGCGGAAGTATCCATCTTTCTGAAGTTCCAGAACCCTTAATTCTTGCTAACTGATATTCACCACATTGGTTAATATTTTTCTTCCAATCTAGCTAAGACAGTTGATTTGAAGGAAAACGAGTTCATAGAGTAGGGCCATGCGAAACTAACCACTCTTCCAACAATTGCAAATCTTCATCAACCAATCAACATGTACTGACAGAAAAGATGAGTTTAGCAAAACATACCAGCTTTGCAACTTTCTTCCAGAAATGAGGGGTCGGCTTCTCCGAGAAATAAGCTCTTTGTAAAGCCAATTCCTGCTCCCTTGTCCATCCGTTAACACATTCGCCCCTTCTGTTGTGTTTCTCCCTGCCGTTGCCCTTCCTAACAACTACACCCTCTTCCATCTTATAGCCGTCGTCTTTCCTTTTTCTCTTCCCGGTAATCCGGTTCTCTTTCTCATTTCCACAAACAGTTAGCCCTCTATTCGCTTTAAGCCCAAGAACGAGTCTCCCGCCTACGGAGGAACTATCATTTCCGCCATCTTCTGTGCTCTCCACCTCTCTAGTGCGGCTCCTCGCCAGAGAAACCCTCGAGGACCGTCGAAGAGTAGGACTTTTCGCCGACCCACTACATGGAGTCGAGTATTCTATCGACCCAGAAACAGAAACCTCAAGAAGCGGAGAGCTTCCGTCGGATCCAGCTCGCTCCTTCGGGAAGTTGCAGCTCCCCAACAGAGAAAGCCTCGAGGACCGTCGAGGAGTACAGTTTTCCGCCAACCCACTACCCAGAATCGAGGATTCTGTCGTCGCAGAAGCAGAAATCCCGAGAAGCAGAGAGCTTCCGCCAGATTCAACTCGTTCCTCCGCGGAATTGCGTAGATAAGCTCTGGAGTGGCTCGTGTGTTTTCGGTCGAGAGTAACTGGATCTGGGTTTTTTTTGCTGCGGAATCGCGTGGATCGGCGGGGAGGGACGTTCAGCTCGCGCCGTCGGCCGTCGTGCTCGGTGGGAGTAGTGAGGGTATCGGCGTTTCTCCGCCCCGTCATTGCGACTTGGTGGGTTTGGGAGGGAAATTGGGGTTAGGTACTTAGGTCTACGGTGGCTCACCTGTTCAAATGTTTATGGGAGATGAGGAAATACAACTAGCTTTCCTTGGATACCCATCGTTCCAGTAAATGGGCCAAGAGTTATGGTAAATAGAGCCCAATGCTTTTGATCTATAGCACGAGTAAGAGTAGGGATGGCAACAAAACTCGAACCCACGGGTACCCACCCGACCCAATTTGGTCAACGCGGGTAAAATCCGTGTTGACGGGTTTTGGGTCGAGTTTGGGTTTAAACCCGTTCACTATTCATCGGGTTGGGTTGAGTTTGGGTTTAGGTAAACCCGACCCGTAGGTACCCGCCCACACTCATATAATTAATTTTCTCAGTATATTTAATATTCTAAACAACTAATCTTATTTATGTTTGTGGAGACATGTCTAATTTTTTATTTCTAATTGTGTAGAATGAAGTTGATGTTATCGAGTGGAGAGTGAAGAAACTTAATTGAGGAAGAATCTTTCAATTAATCATGTTATTTATGGATAATTTGTGATTTACTTCAATTTTCTTTAGTTTTCTAGATTGGTGTTGAACAATTTGTATAGTTAATTTGTGATTTGCTTGAATTTTCTATAATGGTGTTTTAAATATGGATAATTTGTATTGAGAGATTGATATTTGACTTTAATTTTGATAGGAAATTGTTATTGTAAATTTTTTTACGACAAAAACCCGTGGGTACCCATGAACCCGCGGATACCTAGCAGGTTGGGTTTGAGTTTTTCAAACCCAGTGGGTTTTACCCCGAATATTTTTCATGGATAAATCCATGGGTTTGGGTTTGGGTATGGCAAAACCCGACCCAACCCGACCCATTGCCATCTCTAAGCACGAGTTTTGGGATCCTCAAATTTCAAGAGTGAATAATTTTTTTTCGTTGAATTTCAAGAGTGAATAATGAATATATTTGTTGGGCGGAAATTTTCACATATTTAATATTTTAGACAATTTTTTGATTTCTTTTTTGATAATGGTGATTGAATTGAAACGGAAGGAAAAGGGAACAATGGTTCAGAAGAACTGAACCAACAGTACACGGAAGGGGAGTTCAGAAGCAGAAGAAACAAAAAGCAACTGCGAAAGAAGAAAGGGGACAAGCGATCAAACGAAACTCAAGCCTGACGGACTCGACCGCCCCCGCTGGAACCAAATAGATGCCCGATCCTTGCTGATTTTGCTATGAGCAGACAACCAAGATACAACCATCTTGGTTATTTAACGAGCGATGACATTGGTTGTGGATTGAGAATCTTTGAAATGCGTTGATTTCGATGTAACCAAACAATCCAAAACGTAGCATGAAGGATACAATATGCGAATCACTCTTCAATATTGTTGGGTGTCACTGTGGATCTGTTGGTAATGATTGAAGAGAGGTCACCATCAAGATTTCCAATGAAACTCATCCTTCTCCTAATATGCTCCAAACTCCTTAAATGAAGTCACACTTGACAAAGAGTGATATGCACTATCTTCCTCGTGTCAGCACAGGGCGCAGCGATTTGGAAGAGCAATTCCTCTTCTTTTAAGTACATCCAATGTATAAACATTCTTGTGCCATAGAGTCCAAAGAAAGAACATATTTTGCTTGGAATAATGGACTTCCAAGTTGTTGAAGCCACAAAGTTCCGGCTGCCAGGGAATTTCTCTTGCATCAAACGTTTGTAGATTGAGCTAGCAGAAAAGCCACCTTCTGGATTTGGGGTCCAAATAATCCTGCAAGGACTGTTAGAAAGAACAAGATTTCCATTGGGGTTAATACCTTAATTTGGCCCGAAGTTTAGTGTAAGTGTCGGTTTTGGCCCGGATTTTCTAATAAGACATTTATGTCCTACTTTTGAAATTATTGGACAATTTTGGCCTGGAATTTGAGTTGACCGTTAAATTTGACGGTCAAACATATACACCGTTAGTGACTCAGCAAAAACTGTGGATGTGGCTGATGCATAGTCGCCACGCAATTAAATTTTTATATTTTTAATTAATTAATTCAGCCCATAAATAAAATAAAATAAAAATATGAAAAAATAGATTAAATCCCCACTCCCTCCCCGGCCACTCCCTTTCTCTATCTAGTATCTACCTATCTATGTCTGCTCCATGTCCACCATAATCGAAGCTGTCGCCGTGCTGCCCATGCGCCAACAAGTCTTCTCTTCCTCACCTCCATGGGAAGCACCGGTTAGGGGACAATATCGAGGATGAGTGGTTCGACGTCTTTTTCCTCTTCAATATTTCTCGCAACTTCCCTTTGCTCTCCATCTGCGCCTGCGACAATGAAGACGAGTTCCTCCTCATCGAGGCCGCGGAAAACTCCGGATCATCCCCAAGAAACGCTTCCCCTACCCTAGCTTACCTGAATCGTTGAAGTTTCTGGTGAATTTCGAAACCGAGTCTCGAGCTTCGGAGCCAATTCAGAAGGCGGTGAAAGTTCGAATTCCGGCGGCGAGACGAAACACCCACTATGTTAGGGAAGAAGAAGAATCAGACGGCGGCGTGCTAGCTTGGACAGCGCGACATGTCCTGGGTGGCGTCGATTTGGCCAGGGGAGAAGAGCACGGCGGCGGCGCTGGGTTTTGCTTTGGGCGGCGATTAGGGCAAAAGAGGGGAAGGGACTGGCGGGATTGATTATTTAGGGTTCAGGGGTAAAATCGTCCAGGAGAAAGAAGGTATTTTTATTTTAATTGAATTAAAAAAAAATAATGATGTGACATGCCACATCAACTGTTTTTTACCGAGTTACTAACGGAATAGTGTTTGACCGTCAATATTAACGGCCAAAGAAAATTATAGGTCAAATTTGTCCAATAATTTGAAAAGTGAGCCATAAATGTCTTATTAAAAAAATCGGGCCAAAAACTGACACTTACGCTAAACTTCGGGCCAAACTAGGGTATTAACCATTTCCATTGTGCAAAAAGTTCAACAGCCTCACTCTTTCACTCTCTGCTCCGCCTCTCAGGCTAATATTCAAGTTAAGCTGCCAAGTTACCTCATTATCGGTGAAGGAGACCATATCAACGATCCGAGCAGCAGGATTGGAAGCATCAGCGACAACTCTCAGGTAGTCAACAACAAGAATAGAATCCGCCATCCACTTATCAAACCAGAAAGAAACATGACCGCCACCTCCCAGATCAATTTGAGCGAATCTCCATAACAGGGGGTATTCCTTGGGGATGTTTGCCCAAACAGAGCTCGAGTAAATAGAATTGATATTTGTTGTCTGTCAAGAAGAGAGTGCGTTCGAATATTTGATGTTGATCAGCCCTCTCCACCAGCTATTCTTCTCGGTAGCAAACTTCCATAGCCACTTGGCCAGAAGGGCAGAATTGAAGGAGGCCAGATCGCACAACCCCAGACCTCCTTTTGACTTGGCAGCTTTACATATGTTCCAGTTTACAAGCGGAGGTCTCTAATTGTCAGAAGTCCCATTCCATAAGAAGTTTCTTTGAATTGCCTCAAAGATCTTCAATAATTTTCTTAGGGGCTTTGAGAAGGGAGAAGTAGTAAACCGGCAGGCTATTGAGAACTTCTTTATTAAGAGTGAGTCTTCCACCTGTAGATAAATAACTAATTTTCCATCCATCAAGCATTTTCTGAAAATTTGTAACAATCGGATCCCAAATAGAACTGGCATTCGGTTTAGCACCAAGGGGGAATCCAAGATATTTAGGAGGATTCGAGCTCCACTTACAACCAAAATTTGAAGCATAAAAGCCCGGTTCTGGAACGTCACTCACAATATACATGACAGATTTATCAAGATTATTTTCAAGCCAGTCACTGCTGGAAAACAGAAAAGCGTGGAGAGGATGTTTATAACTTGAACGTGAGAAACATCGCAGAATATGAGGGTGTCGTCTGCAAACAAAAGATGAGTTACCTCTCGTTGTTGGTGAAGTTCATCCATAAAGAAACCTTTGATGATTCCAGCAGACTTGATCCGAGACAGCATGTAGGACAGGATGTCCATGACAAGAATGAATAAAGCCTAAGAAATGGGGTTACCTTGTCGAAGACCTTTAGAAGCGGAGAAGAAACCATTAGCCACCCCATTATAAAGTACAAAGATGAGGGGATAGCAAACAGCACTTTGAATCCATCTAAGCCAAAGATTCGAAAAACAAGCCTCTTCAGAACTCTGTATAAGCAATTCCAGTTCACATTGTCATATGCTTTTTCGATGTCAAGTTTAAACATAAGCCCAGGTTTTTTGCTTTTCCTTCTACTATCGACAAACTCATTAGCAATGAGGCCATCTTTTGCAAACTGTCTACCTTAGACATCAGCTTGTTGCGAAACAGAAACAATACCAGGGACATAATCACTTAGTCTCCTAGCCAGAACCTTGTTGATTAGCTTATTGAAACTTCCCAATAATTCAATCGGCCATAGATCTTTCACATCTTCCACAACATCCTTCTTCGGCACAAGACATAGAAAGGAGTGAGTAGCAATCCTTGGAAGGCGGCAGGAAGAGTGAAAATCCAAGAATGCATTAAGAATATCATTCTTCAAATGGTACCAGCATTTCTTTTAAAATTTGAATGTGAAACCATCGGGACCTGGTGCTTTGCTACCATCACAATCAATTAAAGCCTCCCAAATCTCAGTTTCAATGATAGGGCGGCAAAGACTAGAGCTTTAAGCTTCATTGATTTTCCAATCGAAATAGATACTAGGAAAGGGGTGATCTGGAATCTGTTCGTGAAATAAATCCACGTAATAATCAAGAATACCTGCTGCAATCTCTTCGAATCCCTCCAGCATTTGACCTCGGACCTTGATACGATTGAAAGTGTTGAGCTTCTTCCTATAATTGGCCATACGATGAAAGAAACCAGTATTGCCACCACCTTTTTGTAACCATAATTCTTGAGATTTTTGAGCCAACAAATTTCCTGCATATTTAAAGCATGGGCTAGCTCGATCTTCAGAATACACCTCTCAACAGTTTCTTCCTCGACAAGGGCCCTAGTCTCTTTGAGATTGTCAATGG